CATTGTGTGTTTAAGAATTTGACAATTTAGTTAATTTTAAATCACATATTAATTTATAATTTTTAGTTGCTAGAAAGTGTCTTAGTATTTCTACTTTCTTTGATTCAAATAGTTAACTCTAGAACTCACTAACCCCATATTAAATGCTCTATCTTTAAATTTGGTTGATGAGAACTTGTTCAGTTTTGGAATTAGCTAACTCCAGAACCCACTAACCCACTCTAGAGCTAGGTTAGTGAATTCTATCCTCAATAGAAACTGCTAACTCAGTATCTCAGTGAAACTCACTAACTCCTAATTAGAAGCCTCATGCACCATCCAATAGGAGCTAAGCATGAAAATTTTTGGCCAGTGTTGTCAAAAGTGTAGTACCTATGATTGTATCAGTATCATAATGCTGTATCCTATAAATAATTAGGAGTAAGAGTAACATAGTCAATAAAATAAATATATTTAGAAGTATATTTAATATTATTTTTATAATTAGGATGGAAAATGTATTACAGTTTTACCATAGACTAACCAACACAAGTAAACTTTACATCCCATTGTAAAATTTGAAGCTTGTTTTTCTTGTCTAGGTTATGTCTAGTGACACTGATTACTAGTGCTGATGAAATTATGTTTCTATTATTTTATAGTTAACTTCATGATTTGTTCTTTATTTTTTGATTATATAACTAGGGGATGTGTTATTAGTTATAATTAGAATGTTTTATTTAGTTAAATGGTGTTTTAACACATTTGCTATGGCACGTCAAATGGCGGGTATATCCCCAGTGCAGCGCTGCCCTCAGTGTAGAACAAGCCCGATTGCCGCATAGAATTGGCTTTTTAATTTTGGTCTGATGAATTGCAAATAACATGTGGTGATGTCCTGCTTTACAATGAGAGTTGACATAGTTTGCTAAATACCCACAGATAGCAGCACTACTTGGAACATAGTTAGTCCCATTGGAATTGTATTGTCAAATGGAGGGAAAAAGATGGGACAAAAAGTAGATTTTTGAGATTGCCAGATGGGGATTTTACGAGGAAATTTATAACCAACCTAAAAAACAATTTACACATTTACAAAATTTAATCTAAAAAACAAACATTTAAATACATAAAAAGTCTAAACATGACTAAATACAAGTGCAAACCTAATATAAAGGCAAGTGTGAACTTAAAAATCTGCAAAAAATCTGAGTGCACCCAAACTAAAGAGCGGTTGCAAAAACAGATTTCTATTGTATTTACAGACCATGCTCAGCAAGTAATAATGTTCTCCGTCAAACACTAGACTCATAACTGGCTGCTTTTGTTTAACAAGGTTGGATGGCTTGGACCCGGGACTATACATAACATAGACAGTGAAACGTAGTCTATGTTATATTTTTACATGTAAGTTGGATGATTCAACGTTAAACTTTTAATTTTAAATCTATGAATTAGTTATGAAAGTTAAGATAGTTGATGACTGTATTAATTAATAGTTTTGGTTTATTACAACATTATGATTACATTTGTTTTCCATGTTTGAGAACTTGTGTGTATTTTAGCTTAATTTCATAGAAGTTTAATTATTTGGTACTAATTAAGCTCAATGTTCAATATTTTTCATATTCTATTATTTTCCTATAATACTGATGGAATTTATACTAAAAATCAAAATCATAAATATTTAATTGGCCGTTGTACAGTTAAATAAAAAATACATTTCATTATTTCATCATACAAGGTTGGCAATGCTCCATGCAGTGGGCATGGCCAGGTTAGCAGCTTCCAGAGTTAGTGAATTCCATTACAAGACAAAATTGAGTTAGCAGGTTCTGGATTTAGCCAATTCTTGACTGAGATGGTTAGCCAGTTCCAGAGTTAGAAAGTTCCTGAGTTAGCTAATTTCTACGTTTCAATATATCAGTGTTTAAACATCCATATGCATATGTAAGGCAATTCTTTACATTAAAATTGTGGCAATTATAGAATAATAGGTAAGTGTTTAAGTTAAGGGTTTCTATCCTATGATGACTAGACAAATAGTAAAATCTTAAAAAAATTATAGTATAATTAGATGTAAGGTAAACTGTACACCATATATATAACTAATATGTGGTTTTTGTTGATAATTTTTTCAGATAAGATTACTATGCTTATTTAATATTTTACTTTTGGACTTAATGAACCTCATCTGGAAACTTTCTCAAGATAAATTAATGATTAAAAGCTTAATAATCTCAGCAAACCTGTTGTCTAATTTTGAATAGTTTCTTTAATCTTGAAAATAATTTATTTCAACTTTAAGGGGTGGTTTAAGAGCTTGGTATTAGTGCTAGTCTGTGACTAAATCCAGATATTTCTGGCATTTTAGGCTGCTGCCTTGAAAACAGGTTTGTAAGCTCAATTTCAGTTAGACATGCACCTAACTTGTACAAGGATAATCATGTGCCTAAATATTGTTGATTTGGGAGTCAAGTAGACTTAGGTGCTAGTCTAAGAGATAGTCTCGGTGGGTTTGGGAGACCAATTTCAGAACTAAGAGATATGTTTTCGTTATAAAAATCAGTGAGATTAGTCCCCAACTTTAGTCCTACCAGGGGGTAGGTTTAAGTTAATATCATGCTGGTATTACCTCATTAACAAGTTAGTTGTTTACATATTAAGTAAAAGAATGTTATATTGGAATTTGTTATTAAATTCTGAATAATTTCATTACCCTTAAAGTATATTTGATAAAAGTTTTTTTTTAGGTTTCTCTTGTTCAAAATAAAAGAAAATCTTGCATGAAGTAATTTAATGAAATATTATTTTGTTTTTGTTTTTACTGTTAACTTCAATAAAAATATAGAGCCTGAATAGAATTTATTTCAAATGAGATTTGGTTATAAGCATCCATACCTTAATTATAAATATTTTATTAGCTAGGAAAAAATTAGCAACCACACATACCCCCCCCCCACTCATCCCTTACAAAAGATTGAAGAGATAATAAACAAAATATAAAAAACTGCAAATAGCTTACAGTCATAATAATTTACTTTTAATTGTGTTGTGATTGAGCTCAGTTCAGTGTCATTGACAAGTACTAGTTACATCAAAATGTAGTACCTAGATTATTTGAAGTATAAAAAAATATATACTGGTACAGTAAATCAATATTCCCACCACAGAAAACCTAAAGATTAAGTGAATATCCAATAACCTAATAAGACTTTCAATTAAATTTATTTAAATAGCTTTAGGTTTAACAAGTAACTAAAACTACCTATGTGTAGGTATACTACTACAGGGAGGGCAATAAAGTGTTTTTTACCAAAATATTAACAGTTTTATATAAAATAAATAAATTTGCCAAGATTCATCAAAATATATCCATAAACTACAAAACTACAACAGTTAACTTATTCTCCATGAGAATCACATGGGAATTTTATATTAAAAATTTTTTGAATAGTCTTTGTAGCCAATAACCATACAAAACATTTTAAGATACAGTAGAACCTCTTTAATCCAAACCCCTGTAATCTGAACATCCACTAATCCGAATGCTTCATTGCTGTACTCTATACACAGTACAGTAGTTTTTTATTGTATGTATACTGTATTTATTGATATATGCACTGTAGTTATTTAAATTGTAATTTATAGTAGGCCTACTGTTTATTCCTTATGTTTAATACTGTATTAAATAACCACTGTATTTTACTTTATAAAGCAATTTTCACTTTTCCCTAGCTTTGCTATGTAAACAACAATATGTTCTGTAATCCAAACTATTCAATATTTGTTTTTTATACTCTTTAAAATATTTTAAAGATAAAGATTTATGTTTTAGGGGTTAAAATTGAGAAAAAAACTATTTTCATCCCATAAAACCCCGGGTTTCCATGATCTGATCATGCTGGTTTGTGAAATTATTAGGGTTTATCATGCCTAACACTTTCATGCCAAATTTTATCAAAATCAGACAAAAATTACTCAATTTGTCACATTTATGGACGTGTATATAATATATAGGCTATACATATATAAACACTTGAACAAATAGGGATGAATGAATAGGAAATGTTTTTGGCCTCTAGGGACATCAAAATGGAAAAGTATATTGGTCCCGGAACTAAGTGCTGCCTATGGTAATAGCTACTTCACTATAGGGAAGTTAAATAAAAGAGTGTCATGTTAAATTTTTTTTTAATTTACAACAATTCTTTTGTAAGTATTAACAGATATACATTTGCTTCATATTATCATAACCTCCGCAATTACAAAATATTTTTTATTTTATTTCTGTCAATACCTATATATTATACAGGGAAATTGCTGTTTAATTTTAAAACTTTTTATTGCATGAAACCGAGTTTCAGATGTTACTGTTCCACACACTGAGTAATCTTTGTTAAATGATTAGGCTACCTAATGTTTTTGATCTCTGAAAGAAATCATATTGATTTTCAGAAGCCTATGCTACTCTGTACATATTTATAAGGTGTAGTACCAGAGATAAAACATAGCCATCATTGAGATGTAAATCAATGATCTTACAAAACTAAATTTTTGCAATGGTATAATGCAGAAACTTAAACCATAGTCTACTAATTAGCCACCGTTGATATACCAAGATAAAATTGTATCCATCTTCAATTGTTCATCATTTGTTGTTGTCAACAGTAATATGCTCTGCAGTGGCCATTACCAACATCAAAACCTAAATTCCCCACGATTCCCTGTCCATCTAGCTGCGCTGTAACTTAGTCATGACTATGATCTATGACCATTTCAACTTAGACATGAGCTCCCAAGCCTGGTTTCTTGTCCGGGGACTAAAGTTAGGTATGTTTAACACTAGGCACATATTAGCTAGGCTTGAGCTCCCAAACCGCCCCTAACATAACTAAAAAGTCTAACATTATCCCTAATCAAGTACTATAATTGATTAATGCTGCAGTTTTACTGTATGTTGAAGATGTCATGTTATATTAATCAATTACTATTTTTAAATTTGAATAAAAATTACTTACAGATGAATCTGGTGAGTTGACAGGTTGTAGATGTCTATCACAGACTCTGTACATCATGCTGCCTAGGTAAGAATTGAAGTGTTCTCCATATTCAATGAAGAAATGTATAGAAATTGCACCCAGATCTATAAACACACAAGGTAAAGATAAATCATTATTTTCAAGGTTTAATTGTATACAACTTAATGAACTCCTATATAAAGAATGTAGTCATTGACATTAAAATTATTGCATTTAACATTTAATATTATTTGGTTGATGAGTTAAAAACTCAGTTTGCAGTGTAATGGACAATGAAAACATAATAGTAATATCTTTAAGTAGGCCTAATACAGAAAATAAATATGTAATTTTGCTGGGTCTATGTAATCAATTCCGTTTGTCATTAACAGTGATTCTCAGAGTATAGCAAAAGACACAGGCGTGTACTAACACACTTTAAAGTCTTCCCACTGCATGTACTGGCCATTTAGGCGGTCCAACATCAAGGTACTGACTTTTTTTTTGTGTATTTTCCACTGAGACCCTGGTCTTCTAGGCATGTACTAACTCAAAATATAGTTTCCCAATAATTGGTACTTCACTATAAGTTTAAGTTGTACATGACACTAGGCATCTGTCTGAGAATCACTGTAAATGACAAACGGCATTGATATGATAGACCAAGCACTGGATCTCAAGTGTTTAATTACTGTTATTTTCAATGATTGTAACTTAAATTTGTGCATTTGTTGTTGTTTTGTGTAGCTATGATTTGTTTATTTATTGTTTATTTTTTCTTTTAAATGTCTCCGATGATAACAAAATATAGAGAAGACATGTAATCGTGATAATGACAGTGGCATGAAATAAGTTTACTGTAGTTAACACCTGACCCTGGACAATCTCAACTATAATTTTATATTTTAGTTCAAGGATTAATCTATATCAGACAGTAGGCTATATATATTCTGTGATTAAAACAATAAATTCCTAATAATATCTACTCAATATAAAAATTTTCATCACATGATTGTAATACTTATCTATTTAGTAATCTCTATCAGTAGAACTACAATGTTCAGCCAACGTTCAGCCATAGTAACTCACTGACTCGAAAGTTTCCTGTAATAACATCACAAGTAAATGATTAGGTGGGATAATAAAAAAGAGTGAGTGAAATACAGTAGTAGTGGAAATTGTCTATCATCAAATAAGAAAAGACAAAAATGGTATGTTGAGATAAACTTAGTTCTTGATTAAAACTTTTAAATCCCCCCTACCCAGTTTATTGTAATTTTTTTTAATAAAATAAGTAAATTTATAAAAAAGTATAAAATCAAAACAAAGAAGATTTTTATTTAATTTTGAATCATTTCTTTAATCTTGAAAATAACATATTTCAACTTTAACATAACTAAAAAATCTAACATTATCCCTAATCAAGTACTATAAATGATTAATGCTGCAGTTTTACTGTATACAGAGGATACACATCCAGTAACAGGACGTAGATTAGGTGTCCAGCAGTTACTGTCATAACCTAACCTAACCAACCAAACTTGCTGATAATGAAAAAAATCAAATGAAGGTTCAATTCTCTTCATAACATAAAATTATAAATGCCAAAAATTCTAACAAAAGATGTACAGTTCAGAAGAAATTACATTTGAAATAAAATCTGTGACAAAAAGTTAAAGTAACCAATGTGTTTCGAACCAGGGACCTCTTGGATATCAGCCAATCACTCTATCCACTACACCACAAACAAAGCTGGCCAATCATCATATCATTGTGGTAATGGCATTTTGGGACCCCACAACCCGGTGATATCAATACTGGACACCTAATCCACATCTGGTTACTAGAGTAGACACATATCCTCTGTGTTTACTGTATGCAGTAGTGATGTGTGATACAGGTCAATGTATCAATATGCAGTATTGATACATATCAGAATGTGGTGTATTGATATGTGTATCATATAATATCCTCATGTATTGATTTTTATCTGTATCAAACAAAATATCATATTGTTTATTTTTATTTTTTTTTATTTATATATCTTAAATATACAAGCTGCATAGACAAATATTATGTTACTTACAAGCTTGTAAAAAGGGTTAGTGTTTGTAATCTTACCTTAGAAAAGCCATTTCCTTCCTGTGTCTTTTTATTTATATCAAACATACATATATAACCTTCAAATTCCAGTAAACACTTAAAATTGGAAATCATTTTGTTATTGTTTTTCTAGTTTTTATGCAGGGATAATTAATTGAACAAAAAAGTACTAATAATGATGGTGGGTACAGGGATGTATTTAAATATCTGCTGCCTCTAGGCAACAAAGTTTGCCGCCGCCCCTCCCGCTCCCACTTTTAAACGCACTCCCCGACCTCACTAATATCACCCCAATGGCCAATACATGCCCTGTCAGCTGGTTTTGTGGTAAAATAATCGGTAATATTGCATGCGGCATCAACAAATTTAATGACTTTTCACCACACTATGATGTTTTTAGCTGTTTTATATGTGTTAATTGGTGGCTGAAAGTTATATTTTGCTGGCCATGCCAGCTGTCATCATCATTTGGGGACCGAGCAGTTCTTACATCCCTAGGGCCACAAAATCAGCTGATCACTTACTTTTTTAAACATGAATGCATATTAAATACACAATCAGTATCCATAGCATTGCAATAGAATTGTTTTATTGTCACCGCTGCCTAGCAACTATTTATTTTAATTTTTGTTGATTCCTCAAATTATTTCTTCACATAACCTTTAAAGTTCTAGTTGTGTTGACTATCAGTGTACATCATTATTGTGGTGAATTAAGCTCGTGCTATTAAGGTATAGTGTGGAAAATGGTGTTCATACCACGGACCGAAATGGTTTTGCAGCTCTTGATCGTTTTAGGTTGACTTCGTCTCAAACCTAAAAACTATCTCAAGCCAGCGAAACCTCATTTTCAGCCCTAGGTATGAAATATACTATTTCAACCCCTTTTAACGGACGTTTTTTGTGCCGATTTTTTGCAAAACATTCTGACTTGGATAGGCCTACATAGAAGGCACCATTTTTTTTTATCTAATCAGTATTTTTTTACAATCCCATTTTACAGCTTTAAACGGCACACAAAATCATCTGTATACAATGGTTCTTATTACGCTTTTCATTGAACACTATTAGTCAGATCCACTTGAGAGACGTGCTATTGGCTTTGATTTGAAATGAAAGAAATATGTATTCTTAAACTATTTTTTTCTTACAAAAAACACATGAATCGCAAAGAAAAATTACGTACTTTTACTGAAAGAATATTAAATAATTTTAAGTTAGTTAAGTTTGGTACAGTGGTAAGTATTTAGTTCACACTTTCCTTCTTGATTTTAACCTAGCAAAAGAATCTTTCAGCTATAGTGCTGCCGCTGCATAGTGGTGTATGAAGTAAGTCAAAATCTTATATTATTTAGTCGAACAGAAGGGAGTGTTTTCTACGTTTATCACTACATAGCGGCCGGCATGGCAACCTGCTCCCACGGCAAGCATGTCCACCAGACCAATAGGGCAGCACGGACAACTCTACACAGCTGTGTGATAAACTAAATAAATATTTGAAATGGCTATTTTGCTGTTCCCAAGATTATTTGCTAAATTTTTTTTAAGATTAAAACTTTGTTTTTTTATTTTTTTACCCTCAAAGTTTTGCCGTCCCTAAAATTTGCTGCCCTAGGCAGGCGCTTAGTCCGCCTATTTGGAAATATGTCCCTGGGTGGGTATGCTACTTACACATTAAATAGTATAATATGGATAATGAGGGTCCCCACTTCCATTAATGGTGGTCCTAGTTTTGAGGTTATTTGCAAAACATAGTTGAAAATACATGTCCCACATATTGATACAAAATAATGATATTTTGCGGTCCTTGTATTGATATTTGTATCAAATGTATTTTAATGTATTGAATGTATTCAATATCTGTATTCTGATGTTGTATGTAGAAGATATCATGTTATATTAATCAATTACTATTACCAAATTTAAATAGAAATTACTTACGGATGAATCTGGTTAGTCGACAGGATGTTGAGGTCTGTCATAGACTCTGTACACCATCAAAACCTCAGGTAACCTGTACGAGCTGTATCTTCTCTATGCTGCCTAGGTAAGAATTGAAGTGTTCCTCATACTCGATGAAAAAGTGTATAGAAATTACACCCAGATCTACAAACATACAAGGTAAAGATAAGTCAAGATAAAATAAACAAAGATAAGTCATTGTTATTTAAGGCTTAATTGTATACAACTTAATGAACTCCTATATAAAGAATGTAGTCATTGACATTGAAATTGTTGCATTTAAAACTTACTACAGTAATCCCATATTATTTAAACAATAATTAAAAGCTAAAACTTCAATTTATTTTTAAAATCCAATTACATTGCAGAATTTACTGGCAAATGAGTAATCCAAATGTAATATTATAAGACAGAAGATATTTCCTGAAACTATAGTCATCTAAGAAAGACTAAGAATTATTTATAGTGTTAGAATCTATATAATTAATATGCTACATGAAATTTTGTCGGTTAAACTCCTCCGCCATTACTTAACCGATTTTATCTGTTGACGTCTCATTGGAAAGAGCATGTTGCGTAGATTTGCAAACTGGCCTTACATTTTTGAAAAAGTCCCTTGGACTCTGCCCAAGTGGCTTTGAAAGTTCCCATGTTATCTTTATAAAGAACATAATTGTTTACATTTTGATCAGCTGTATAATTTAATTGTTGTTCATTTATTTTTCAATTCAATATTTATTATTTGAGTTTGTATAAACATAACCCCCAAGACGGATCGTGTTAGTATGGTTGTATCTTAAATTTGTATATTTATTGTCGTTTTGTGCCGCTACGACGGGTCGTGTTAGCACGATTGTAACTTAAATTTCTGAATTTATCGTTATTTTGTGTAGCTATAATTTGTTTATTTGTTGTTTTTTTTTTCTTTTAAATGCCTCTGACGCGACAACAACGAAACGTAGACAGGAGGCATAATCGTGATAACGACTGCAGCTACAGAACAGTGGCGCGTAATAGGCTTAACTCATCACAGTCAGCACCTGACTACAAATCTCAACTATTAGGTTACAAATGAACCCTAACACTAATCCAAAACGACTTTTCGTTTTCAATTGGGCATCTATCAATGACCTGTGTTGCCTGTACATCAAGGCATTTTGAGAAGAAGAAATCCAGCCGGAATTCTTTAGGTTTATCAATAACGAAGATAATCGTGTTCTGAGTTACATGCCGGTAATCTTTGAGTTGACTCTTTTAAACTCATTGTAAATATGACTGTTATTCGTTTTGAAATAACTCCTGTAATACTTTGCAATTGCTCGAATTCGAGCAACATGTACACTAGTTATCTATAATTCTGTACAATTAAAAGAAGTTGAACTTAAAAAAAGATTAGCAGTTTAACTTATCAAAGGAGTCTGGCTTTAATTAAAGATTTATATGTATAAAAATTTTTAGGTTTATTTAAAAAATATAAACTATACATTATAAAATATCTAGGTCTAAAACTTACCATCTGGTTTGGAGTTTTCTAGTGGACTGATGATGTGATCAGAGGTGAGTAACTCCGGAACGAACTACTCCGAAAGAACTACTCTGACTCCGGAACGACAAGTCCAACTCCAGCTCTTGCATCGGAGTTAGTTCCTCTAGGAACTAAAGATAGTCAAGAGACCGTCATTGGTTAAGATACATTATGTAATAAATTAGAGATTGTTGTAGTAAATAAATATTTGAAATTAAAAAAAAAATCTGTTTAAAATGAATGTAGGCTATAATATACAGTAATCGACTAATGAGAGGTGAGAGGGGAGCAGCAGAACACCAAGCATCACAAGAATACAACTGGAACGACTCACTCACTGCCCTACTGTTTCGTCATTCCTCACTCCACTAACTATGGTCCTATCATCCTAGCCTAGCTTAATCATTATTTATTTATTCCTTGTTTAATAACGATTACTGGAATGGAACCAGGAACTATCATCCAGAGGTGATGCGAAGAGGAATGATGGACTGGAACTATCTAGTTCTGAACCAAAATGGATGGTGAGTGAGTGGAAGCGCTCCTCACTCCGAAAGTCCAGTGTTCAGCGTTCTTCTAAACGGAGTTGGAACTACTCCGCGGAACTAGTTCCGATAGCTCAATAACTCCGGAGTGAACGACTCCACCAAGTGAACGATAATTCCCATCTCTAAGTGATGCTTCAATTGACCACATGATGCTTCAATTGTAGACAATTGATGACGTTAGGCTTCAACTAACTTGAGTCATATGTTAGTTAGGTCAACTGTTCTGTTTAAGGACAGAGACCCAGTCTGACCAATTACAGTTAACTGTTTTCAAGGTTAAAATAATAGAACTCAAGAACTGTCTCACTAAATTCATCTTCATATAAAGTTCAATCTATTTCCATGAAATGATTATCATGTAATATAGCTTTTTTTAATTGAACTAGCAAGACTTCAATAAATTATTTTTTTTAATTATTCAGTGTATGTAGAGAATTAGATAAGTGTCAGAAATTATATATTTATTTACAATTCTAAGGTCCTAAATGATATGATATTTACCTGAAGGTTTCTTAAGTAATAAGAGAGTACTCTATGAACTTACAGATAGTTTTTGATTATCCTATACTTTAATACAAGCAATGTTTACTTATATGTATGTATACTTGCTTACTTACTTGCTTGTACCAAGATCTTGAAAATGACTCCAATGATTTTCTTTAAATGTTGAATATAGTTTATTCCTGGCCTAAAAACAAGTTTACTATAGTTAAAAACTGCCAACAAAAATCTAATTATGTAAAAAAATGAAACTGAAAGTCATATTTGTTAATATTAGTCTTATGAGTTGCTAAGCTACCATCTTGGCTGAATAAATAACAAGGCAATAGTAAACAAAAAACTTGTAAGTTGTCTATTCACAGTAACTAGCAAATTAAAAATACAGTACAAAAGGAAAAACATCAGTTGTTACTATTGAGTAAAGATTATACTGAAGATTACTCTATACAGTGTAGTTAAGGGTAGCAGTGTAGAGTGTGGGATCTGTTTATGATGATTAGATTATGGTATCTGCAATCCTTAAATGCTATAGGAAGGGAAGGAAACAGGTCTGTGACGTAGGAAGTGATGAAGGAAATAGTAAAGGCGAGCAGTCCATAGTGTGGGAACTATTTATGAGGATTAGATTAAGGTATCTATAATCTAAAAATGTTATGGGAAGGGAGTAAAACAGGTCTATGACAAAGGAAATGACAAAGCAAGTAGTAAGGCTAGCAGTGCAGAGTGTGGGAATTGTCTTTGGCAATTATATTAATGTATCTGCAATCCTAAAATGCTATGGGAAACAGAGAGAACTAGAGGGAAACAGGTCCAAGACGTAGGGGGTGGTGAAGGAAGTAGTAAAGGTGAACAGTATTGAGTGTGGGAATGGATTAATGTATCTGTAATCCTAAAATGCTATAGAATGGGAGGGAAACAGGTCTGTGACTTAGGAAGGGGTGAAGGAAGTAGAAAAGGTGAGCAGTCCAGAGTGTGGGAACTGGAAACAGTTTGTAGTAGTTAGAATAAGTATCTACAATACTGAAATTCTATGAGAAGGGATGGAAACATGTCCACAACACAGGAAATTGTGAAAGAATTAGTAAAGGCTAGCAGTGTGGAGTGTAGGAAATAGATCCATGTATCTGCAATACAAAGACTGTTTTCAGAGTAAACTAATGATTTTTCCCGAGTAAAGCTCAGTCCCCAGGTACTCTTATTGATCTAACCATGCAATATTTATGTCATCACGGGGAGAATAGTACATTTATTTAACCTGCACAATATCTAATTTAGGCTGAATGACATAAGAGATAACGGTAGTCTGACCAGGAACCTTGATAAAAAGTCTATTTTTTTCTAATTTCTTGTTTTGTTCATTTTTAAGTTCTTCAATTGAAACTATTAAGTTTGTTGCTTTGTGTTGTATTCTGGACTTTTAACAGTCTAAAAAAGTTTTATATACTTGGGACTAATTGATGTAAAGAGTTTAAACCTAGTATAACGTCTACAGTTAGACTTTTAATTATGCTAACTACACACTGTATTGACCTGCCATAGTATGTAATGTTTATAGTACAGCCATAATATTATAGAACAGGTATAAACATTAATTAAGCGATACAACATGTTTTACTAATCTTAGGTTTGTTGTAGAAGCGATACAAGAATGATATAACGTCTTGAAATCAGCAAAAAATTGTTAAGTAGATATTATAAATCTTTTTTGCTCTATATTAAAGCAGCTATTATAATGTCTCACCCGGTCCATAAAATGTGTATGCTCAGGGTGGTTTTCCATGACCAAACTGCATAAAGGTTCAGGTAGGTGCTGCAAAGATAGTACAGTAGTTGAACTTTACCCCCATTGCTGCACATGCCCTGTGTTTCTTCTTTCCATTTTAAGGCCTCGCAGTACTTAGGCCTACATTATTTGAACGTCATGGTAGCTATCACCACCAAGCTATTTCCTTCATATTCTATTTTCGGATTATATGTCATTATTGATAGATGTTTCACCATCCATTGAATCTTTGGAAAATATATTTCAGGATGAGTTAATTTATAATACCTTTTGTTTATGTTCTTCACCTGGTTTTTCCTTTGTTTGTCTGTGCACTTGCTATGTCGTTTACGCCTTATTGTATTTTGTTAAGATTCTGGAATCGACTAACGATTGGGAGAAACAGGCTTTTTTGTGGCTCTAAAATGTTGAAGTGCCTGCTAGACAGGAATTGTGTCAATTTGAGTCTTTTCATGTTCATCAACATGTTCATCACTAAACTTGGCATATAATTTACACTATTCCGATAAACCTCGAAAACAAATTTGAATAGTTGTGAAGCTACAACCTATTAAAGGCAAACGGCTTCGACATTTAATAGAAGTATTCCCTGGAATTGAGGTAATTATTCCCGTCACTGTCATATAGAATAAGATTAAGAAGTAGTCCCAGTTCCTCAAAAGGGAGAGTGAAGTAAATAAAAACACTTCATCTCCTCTGATCACTAAAAGTATTAACTTACAAATATTAACTGTAAACTTTCGTTTCCCAGACATTATTTTTTGGGAAATAAACCATACAAACAAAAATTGATTTTTATAAAGATTTGAGAAAAAGAAAGTCAATAAGATATGCACTTAAAAATTAAAACTCCTTATTCACACTCTATCAAAAATTATTTATCAAACAAACTTCCTATTTTATTATAGCTAATGATGTTAAAAATTTAGACAATCAATAGTGTTGCATCCTGTTGGTACATTTTATAACCTTTTAATGTTATTGATCATCACAGAATCAAATTTTTTAGTTGAAACAGCTGTTAAGATTCTTTAATTCCATTTAAATATGAGTGCTCATAAGGTTAACATGGGAAACTCCAGAGCCACTGAGGCGGAGCCCTTTTGATGGATCTGCACCAAACATCACACAAACCATCCTTGAATAATGCTTAATAATGCCTGAAAGTTTCATTACAATCTGTCAAGCGGTTTTGGAGTTCATAACGTTCAAACATATATATACAAACTTCCTCTTTTATAAATATATAAAATATAACTTGTTTAGATAAATGTAGGTAAATATGTTTATGACAAACTTCATCAAAATTTGATAAATTTTAATTGAGATATTATAAGATAAAAACTTTTTAACAGAATAATTGAATACATCAGAGGTTGGTAAGGCATGCATTGTTATTAAGAGAGGGGGAAGCAATTCAATTTTAAATGAGTGGGAGAATACTATTTAAAGCCCCTATGTCTTGAGGATAGCAATATTTAACTAGTGGTTGTTATATAGTGAGTTTCTACATATTGAGTGCCTATTGTTATTGTGCCATATTGTTGTGTCTAGTTATCCCTAGTGTCTGTGCCATACATCAATATTGAAGGTATGTTTTATAATAATTTATATTATTAATTTTAATATAGGATTAGGATAGTTTGTGTGAGCTAGTGAGCTTGGTACAAATCTGTCAAAAGGGCTCTATCTTTAAAGTTTTTAAGTGGGCTAATGTTTACAAATAATTATAACTAGCTGTTACCCAGCAATTATTTAGAAAGTTTAAATTCTTAACAACATTTAAATTAAGTTATACAATGTTAAATGTATAAACATAAAAACCTTTATCAAATTATTATTTACAATAATAATATACCCCTGCTATAGCAAATCTACAGACTAAGCGAATTTCCATTTGCCTGATTTGATTTTTAATTCAATCTATTTAAACAACATTAGGTTTAACAAGTACCTAGGTTTACTACCTAAAGGGAGGGTAAAAAGTGTGGTTTTAATAAAACATTAATAGCTTAGTACAAAGTAAATAAATTTACCAAGTTTAATCCATATATATCTATAAATAAACAAAGTACAACAGTTTATTCATTCTTCATATGAATAACATTATAATTTTTAATTTACAATTTTTTCCATAACTAAAAATCATACAGAAAATATACTAAATTATTTATTTTCTTTTTAGCTCTTTAAAATAGTCTAGAGAAAATTTGAGAAAATTTAAGTTTTGAGGGTCAAAAACAAGAAAAACAATTTTTACCTTATAAATAAATCCTTGTTTTCATGGTTAGATTATGCTGGTTCATGGACTTGTTCAAATAAATGTATGTTTACACCAAATTTCATCAAAATTGGATAATTTTTGTTTGAGTTATTGTGCTAATGGACATATATGTATGAATTTAAATGGATGATGTTTTTACACTAGGGTAATCCCTGACTATCATTATTATGGACAGTTATATTTTTTATGTTCATATGATACCACAATAATATTTGTGGGGGACTTTTTTAGGGGATTTTTGGGGGGATATATTTTTGCTAGCTGTCATAATTAATGTATAATTTTTTATAAGCAACCTGAACAAGTGTTTCTAAGTAGCTCACTATCAACACCAACAACATTATGTGGTTTGTAATTAAGATTGTTTCTAAGAATGGTAAAAATGCACCTTGTCAGACAATCCTTAATATACCAGTGTTGAATTTTACTTGCTACATATGTTTTGGCAGTTCTTTAACTCCACCATTGTTAGGATTTATAGTACAAAAGATCCACTTCTGGAGGTGTCATCAGAATATGTTACAAACATTTAACACAAAAACACGTAATGATTACAGATAAGTCTATCAATTCACATGTGTATATTATAGGACTGGAAGTAAACTGAATCAGATAATAAAGGAAAGACATGGTCTCTGGATTGTTGTCTGTGTTTTTAACAGCTGATATTGGACTATTGTAGTGACTGAGAAGAGTGTTGAAAATATAATGGGATTCATAATTAATTGAGTGTTTCACTTAAAAATTTTGTGCTGTCCTTAATTTTGTGTATTTATATATTTTAAACTCCTCAAAGTATTTAATATATTTTCTTTCATTTTGAGACCATCATTTATATCCAGCATATAAATTGGTTATTATTGTCAATAATTTTGAATGGAAAACTTAATTATAAATCCCATTATATTTTCAATACACTCCTCTGTCACTACAATTAGTCCAATATCAACTTTTGATAACACAGATGACAATTCAGAGACCATGTCTTTCCTTTATTATCTGATTTAGTTTACTTCCTACTGCAATATACACGAGTGAATTGATAAGCCTATCTGTTATCATGTAAGGTACCAAATTTTAAGGGGGATAAAAACGTACTGCGAATAAATAAACACCAGAA